GAGAGTTGAATCATGACACTGGGCAAGTCAATGTAATTCTGGATAACCTTCAAAATGATATATGACACATACTGTGAAGGCATTGGCCAAACACTATTTGAGAGTTGAATCATGACACTGGGCAAGTCAATGTAATTCTGAATAACCTTCAAAATGATATATGACACATACTGTGAAGGCATTGGTATATGTCTGCCTAGGGGGTCCCATACTTTCAGGACACCCTGTACATTGGTAAATAGTTTTAAAAATCTTAGTTTTTCATTTTAACCAAATTAATGATTATTTCTGCTTATCTAAAATTTGGGTTGTCTATCCATTGAATCTGTGTTTTTTTGGCATGACCCCCCCACAAGGGCTGTGTTGACAAAAAGGGTTGGAAATATGTGGCTGGAATTATGAAATTATGATTCTTGAAAAAATGTTAAATGTAATTTTTACATGTCTATTTTCATTTTCTGCTAATCAGCATGCAACCTGGTGGATGGATGCCACATATTTCTCGACTTGTCATTAAAATACCAAGAAAACAACCTATCAGTTATTTCACATGGCCTCAATTTTTAAATAAATCTTGTCATCAAAATGTCTTCCACTCATGGTATTCAATTTGAATTTGTACAACTTTGATGTATAACTTTAAAGTCTATAGCTGACTAACTTTTGGAACTCTGAAGGATAGAACTTAATAAAAATCTACTGGTGCTATGCTCCTTTAGAGAGATATTTATTATCCCATCGAACGAAGTTCGGAGGGATATAGGGAACGCCTCCGTCCGTCCGTCCGTCCATCCGGGCAATAACTCAAATACCGTTGGCCCGATTTTGTTCATATTTTGTACACATATACCCTATGGGAGAAGAAGTTCTGCTCAAAAGCCGATTTTCAAAATGGCCGCGCAATAATTAGTGCAGAGGGGTCATTCAACGATCATGGACCAGTGTCAAAATATATTTAAGTTTGGATATTTCATCAAAACTAACATCTATTTTTATTATCTACAAAGAAATCCCCTAGATAAACATTATTTTAGCTCATATTCCTCTTGAAACAGGGTGGATCTTAAAAATATAAAAGTGGAAGTCCCCTTTTTGAAGCTTTGAACTGAATTTACACTTCTTAATGCTGAAATTGATAATTTATCCATACGTTTTAAGAAAATAGGTATGTCAAAGAAGATGTTAAACCAAATGTTGCCTTGATAGCTCAGAAAAAATGAAAAAACTTTCCTTTTTTCTCTACAGTCCTTATTGCCCCTTTAATAATGCTACAAATGTAGATATGAAAGAAGCACATGGTAGCCATCTTGAAGAATGGCAGCCTTTACTCATCATTTTACGATTTTTGCTGTAACTCAAATAATAGTGGAGCGATTTTGTTCATATTTGGTATGTGAATACTATAAGCATGGCACACTGTCCTATGACACTTTTGGTAGAAGGTGGCCATTTTGACAAAAATTTTGAAAAATGTATTTTACTATAACTCGAAAAGTAGTGGAGCGATTTTGTTCATATTTGGTATGTGAATACTATAAGCATGGCACACTGTCCTATGACACTTTTGGTAGAAGGCGGCCATTTTGAAAAAAATTTTGAAAAATGGCCGCCATTTTAGGGAAATTAGGGCACACTTTAAAATCACCTAAGATGAATTCCCCATAGTAAATCAGTTATAGTATGGTTTAGAAGGTATCAATTAAGTTCTGCTATATTGAACACATGCAATATTATATAAATTGTATTGAATATGAAAATAAAGTGAATTATTGATGATATTTAAAATAATTATAACATCTGTAATTTTTCAACAAATGACTATTCTCGATTTGGAGAACGAAGTTCATCACTCAAGTGTTACCCCTGCTTTTGACAATTTTTTTTACATTATTTAGGCTAGATTTCAATGTCTTCTTTTGAATAGTCATTTTAATTTAATTTGGGTGATATTTCATAAAAAAATTATGAGTGCAGTAAACTGATGAACTTCTTTCTCTAAATCTAGACTTGTATTTTATTGAATCGGTTTAATGCATGTTACCCCTGCTTCGAACAATTGTGATGTTTTTATATCTTGCAGAATTAAGTGTCTTCTTTTGAATATTCATGATTTAATTTGGTTGATATTTCTATATTTTTCATAAAAAATTATAAGCCCAGGAGACTGTTCTCTAAACCGCGACGTCTCCTTTTATTCAAGTCCAGGCATAAATTCTATACTAAATTTTATATTTTATTCTCAAATCGATGGGACACCATATTCAACCTATCTGATATTTTCTCAAAATAGGTAAACCTTTATAAGGCGCATGTGTATAGTTTTATATGTAACTGTCAGACTGTTACTAATATAAGGTTTGTGGAAATAAAATGAATTGTCAGTATTTCTAGATTTTGCTCTTTATTTTTGCGATGAGACTTTTTATTCTCAAGCTGCTATTTTTTACCATTAGCAACCAATTAAATAGTAGGCCTACAGTGGAGTGATTGGATCAATATTTTTATGTATACGTTAACAATGGTTGCCTCAAGTCAAGCCCCTCCAGTGATAAATGAAGAAATGTAACCTCTTGCAATGGCTATTTAACACTAGGTCTGCCATTCCTTATTTATGTCCCAGCATTGATTCCAATTTCAATAGCTAAATTCAGTTGAAAATCATAATTAAAGTTATTACTCTATATTTTTCTGAGTTTTCTGATTTAGTTACATTTACCAATAGAATTTATATTTTCGATGGTAACCGGGTACTACTAGTAATCGGTATGTTATAATTTGCCTTTTGGGTCACTGTACTCAGTGACCGGTATCATTGCCCAACATTCCTGTGGAATGAAGTATGTAGTTGCTCACTCTAGAATAGACATCAGGAGACGGTAGCCGATTAAATACAAATAATCGCGCGTGTTATGCAGTTTTAAGGTATGTGCAGTACCTATATGGCACAGACTCTCTTTTATCTCGTTGGTAAGGCGATTTACCAAGAACAAGTCGGTTGCATAGCTCACTAAACTCATCGAATGTCAGAAGGAAAATCGCCATTCAGCTGATTCCAAATCGAGTCAGCCCCGATAAGGACAACTCACTTCAACTAAATGTCCAGCGAACCTGTCTAGTAGAGACCCAGACACACTTATATGAAGGGACATAGACCACTCGCGTCATAACTTATAAAATTACACCGTGAAATACATGTTCAAGTTGAAAACAACATTTCAAACTGCCAAACTAGAACCGAACTAGTGGTTTTTATTCGATTGTTTCAAGGGGTCTTCAAAATTCTCGCAATGAAAGTTGCAATTACCCTACTTATATAGAAGTCGCGCGATCGAAACCTATTTAAATCGTAAAAAGAAACTATACTTTATGTCTCTGCCAAGTATAAAGTGTAAATATTCAGTAGTTTTTGCAGGATTAGAAAATCTATTCGGGAGGTGGGGATTCTGGACATATGCCGTGATTTTTTAATCACCGGCGCGTAGTGATAATCGTGACGTCATATTTTGGTTTGGCCGCCCAGCTGATGGTTTTATTGTGTAAACATATCGTAATAGGAAAATATCCTTCAGAAAATTGTTGAAACTTTTTATTGAAATTGTTTTCACTTTATTGTGTAATTTCTAAACTTTTCAGTGGTACTATGTATGTTAATCCACCATATAAGAGGTATGATATATTGCATAAAAAGTGAAGAAATCATGCCCCAAAAACAAAGCATGATTTCAGTTATTTTTAATGTGGGTAAAGCGGGTTCATTTGCATGTTGGAACTTCAAAAACTGGAAATTCACAACTGTATTAGGTGATTTTTTCAATATTAACTGCATGCAAATATCCAAATATTCTGATTTTTCCATATTTACAACTATCGGGTCTCATTGAATTTTTATTTGGCCCTTAACAAAATTTTCAAATTCGCAATTTTGTGCAGCCCCTGGTTTTCAAATAAGACATGTGGCATTGAATGTATAGAATCAAATATATCTCAAACTAACATGTCTGTATGTACAGCAAGGAAATTGTTGCAAACCCTCTCTTGGCCAAAAACTCTTTTAAAAACATGCAGTTTTCACCATTCTGAGCACTTCAAGTGATTTTGGGCCAAATATGTCAACTGTGAACCTCCTTGGTTAAAAACATCTGATTATATAAAGCATTTAAGCCCTTTGAACAGAATATTGTTAAGCACAACATTAGACAACATAGAATCACCAAACCTTTTTATCCCATCGTTTCAATCACCATAAATGGAGTCAACATCAAGATACGTATCAGCCCTTCTTACATGCATATAAGACATACAAAGCCTAAACCTTTGATATATAAGCTGTTGACTTTCCTAAATTCTTTCTTCTAAATTTCACCCTTAAATACTTCACAAGTTTATTTTCTGTTTAGCCGCTATGGCACAGACATGTTCTCCTATTTCCCCATTTATTTAAGTACATCTACGGGATGTTCAAAAAGTACTGCTAAAACGGCTGTAATTAATCTTTTGGGGGCTACATATTTCTGACTCATTTTTGAGCTGCTCCTTGTTCAGTAATGTAATACAAGTTTTGAAAATCATCAATTATGTGTTAGTGGGTATTGGGCAAACACATTTTATCAGTACTTCTTGAATGCCCCGTAAAACTGCATCTCTAGCTGCTTGATGTTCTTTGTTTTTATTATTCTTTTGACTACATTTGTATGGTTTGAAGAGGACACACTCCTTTCATCTGACATTTTATATTTGGAGAGTGATAATCATTCTTTTAAATAGATAAAGCCATTCCTTGGGTAAAGTGCACTTTTGGAGTATTTATTCATTCCAAATTTTTAGTCTGCAATGTCAAACTTAAAGTGTCCTGCTTAAATGGGATTCACATGGAATCTGTAAGATCATACAATTTTTACAATTTCCAAAAATGACATGTCACAGGAAAGTAGAGTATCTTCAAGCAATTAATCCTCCTTTCTTTAGCTTCTTTTTCATATCTATTATTTCTATCTATTTAGCATGCAAAATAAGAACCCTATACATTTTGAACGAGCCGTTCAACAGAGACAAGAGGCTAGACACAAGCAAAGGGCATATTTCGTACATTTTGTGAGACACCCTGCGTGAGTTCTAGCTAAGGGCTCTTAGTATAATGTCATATTTAATCATAACTTAGTGAACTTACAATAGAATGTAATATATAAGTATAATAAAAAGGTGGAACATCCTTTGTCCTATTAAGAAGTATTTCATTTTGGTTGTATTCCTCATTCAAAGGTGTTTGAACTCCTAGGATTTGATTAAAGAACATAGTAAAAACATATTGTTTTATAAAAAATATAGTAGATAATGAAATGTAGAAAGGCAGAAAGTGAAGAGAATTAAACTAAGCAAAATCAGGCCTGTAGCCAGGGCCAAAAATTCTACACCAAGTGAACACCCTTGGAATGTTTTGAATAGTGAACCCCCTTGGCAAATCCTGGCTATGGGCCTGCAAAATGGAATGTTGCAATTTGCATCTTTAGTATTGCATCAAGTGTCATTTCTTTCCTGTTGCTTTGAAATCTGCATATATGGTCAATACCATATATGGGAAAGTAAAGATTAAGGTCGGGGAATGCAGACTTGATGCAAGGCTTTTTTCCATTATATGCAATATGATACAATGGGGTACAATTTTGGGTCCCGTTTTCATTTGAAGTTATAGTAGAAATTCATATGAAATGTTTTGTAAGCCCATAGATACAACCTCTAAGTATGAATATTTGATAAACTATGAATTAACATAGTCTAAGAATCTGGTGTGATCAAAATTGGAATAAATGTTAATTGAAATGTAATATTACATCGATGTAATTATAGTGTTAATGAATTGAAAACGCTATGCGCAAATTTGTTTTGAAATAACTCTTAAAATAGACACTCATTTTCAAATTTTATTTGCCCATCAATTCAAACTTTACAAACTGATATATCTGTTTTATGTATATTTCCAGTTTGAGTGGTCCAAACGAGGTTGTGGATGTATATGCGACTAAAAGAGCCTGTGGTGGGGCACATACTCTTACTTACCCAAATAGGCGTACCAATAAGGTACAACCAAGCGTAGGTGGATTCTTTGAGGAGGAAGTAGTAGCCCCAGCTGCCCCTGCATACACACCCCCATATAAACAGGAGCTGGATCTCCAGGGGGTAGATGGACATATATACAAAGGCAGAATTAGCGCCCGTCTACCTACAGTTCACACGGCACCCGTAAGTTAAAATATGTTAGCAGTGATCTCCCCAAGTTTTTTTTATCAACAGAGTTAAAAATCCTGATTTGGCCTATTTAATTAAGATGTGTGATCATATCAAACAGATCATTAGCATAATGACATGACATGTAAAATTTTCAACATGATGCAAAGTCATAAGCATAATGACATGACATGGCAAATTATCAACATTATGCAAAGTCATTAGCATAATGACATGACATGGCAAATTATCAACATTATACAAAGTCATTAACATAGTGACACGACATGTCAAATTATCAACATTATGCAAAGTCATTAGCATAATGACATGACATGGCAAATTATCAACATTATACAAAGTCATTAACATAGTGACACGACATGTCAAATTATCAACATTATGCAAAGTCATTAGCATAATGATATGACATGTCAGATTTTCAACATTATGCAAAGTCATTAACATAGTGACATGACATGTCAAATTATCAACATTATGCAAAGTCATTAGCATAATGACATGACATGGCAAATTATCAACATTATACAAAGTCATTAACATAGTGACACGACATGTCAAATTATCAACATTATGCAAAGTCATTAGCATAATGATATGACATGTCAGATTTTCAACATTATGCAAAGTCATTAACATAGTGACATGACATGTCAAATTTTCAACATTATGCAAAGTCATTTACACAGTGACATGACATGTCAAATTTTCAACATTATGCAAAGTCATTAACATAGTGACATGACATGTCAAATAATCAACATTATGCAAAGTCATTAACATAGTGACATGACATGTCAAATTATCAACATTATGCAAAGTCATTAACATAGTGACACGACATGTCAAATTATCAACATTATGCAAAGCCATTAACATAGTGACATGACATGTCAAATTATCAACATTATGCAAAGTCATTAACATAGTGACACAACATGTCAAATTATCAACATTATGCAAAGTCATTAGCATAATGACACGACATGTCAAATTATCAACATAATGCAAAGTCATTAGCATAATGACATGTCAAATTATCAACATTATGCAAAGTCATTAACATAGTGACACGACATGTCAGATTATCAACATTATGCAAAGTCATTAACATAGTGACATGACATGTCAAATTATCAACATTATGCAAAGTCATTAACATAGTGACATGACATGTCAAATTTTCAACATTATGCAAAGTCATTAACACAGTGACATGACATGTCAAATTTTCAACATTATGCAAAGTCATTAACATAGTGACATGACATGTCAAATTATCAACATTATGCAAAGTCATTAACATAGTGACATGACATGTCAAATTATCAACATTATGCAAAGTCATTAACATAGTGACACGACATGTCAAATTATCAACATTATGCAAAGCCATTAACATAGTGACATGACATGTCAAATTATCAACATTATGCAAAGTCATTAACATAGTGACACGACATGTCAAATTATCAACATGGAACTAACATATCATTAAAATAGTGACATAACACGTCATATTTCAACAGGGTGCAATTTGAGCATCAACATAGTGACATGACACGTCACATTTTAACATGGTACAACACCCAGATGCTTTTATGCTGGGGAGATCATTGGTTATTTATCATACAATTCAAGACTTTTCTCTTTTTATTCTGAATTGTAATAATTTAATTCAGAATCAAAATAAATTCTTCAATTTGAAGATATTTTGTGATAAGTTTGAGTATTGCAAAATCAAAAACATGGATTTAACATGGATGTCTCAAAAAATTCAACATTCAGACAAAGCAACATTTGTAAGAATAATTTTGAACAAGCAGGATTACTTCTCCATTGAGTTTGCAGACAAGCTCCTCATAATGTGAGTTATTTACTTGTAGGGTGGTGAACCACAAGTACGTGGGCGTCAGAGTCGCAGTCCACCACGTTCACAATCAGTTCGCCCTCCTGCCTCTCCCCGTCCTGGATCAGCACGTCAACCAGCTGGGCGTCCTGGCTCCGCTCGGGTTACATCTCGGCCCCAGTCTGCTAGACCTGGGAGTACTAGAGACAGTCCGCCCCCTGGGGATGATCGACCTGCCCCTGACCACCCTGGGACCCCTGAGGATCTGACCCAACCACCAGCAAGGTCACCATCTCCCGTCAATGTAGACACTCAACAATAGCTAGACTTTAAAAATTAGTTAATCATTATAGTTTATATTGACTAGAACAAATCTTCATATAATGTCTATAGAAATTGACTGTTAGTTATACTTATTCAAATGCGTGTTTCACAACGCGAACAATCAAATGTTTTTAAGTTTATTGAATTCTATTCAAAAGTACAGAAAATGGCTGTATCACTTATAAAAGCATAAAAGCAAAATAAAATGTCTTAACAAGAGATTCAGCCATCTTGCTGATCTCTCATCTTAAATTAAATTATGGACATTTATATTGTATACACAGTTGAATTGAATATATATTATTGTGTACCAAGATTGTTGTACATTTCCATGGAACACACATTTTCCATGGAAAAAGACCAAAGGTTTCACTCCAGTTTCCTCAGAAATATTTAATTTCTAAATATTTGTATCAGTAATTATTTATATTCACAGGATGGTTTTGATTTTGGCATAATCTGCTTTTGTTTTACACATGAGAGACACATCTCAGGCCCGTAGCCAGGATTTGCCAAGGGGGGGTTGGTTCACTTTTTGGAAAATTCCAGGGGGGTTCACTTTTGACAATCTTGGTCCAAAAATGGCCAAAATCACTTAAAATGTGCTCAGAATGGTGAAAAACTGCATGATTTTGAAAGAATTTTTGGCAAGGGGGGGGGGTTCCATCGAACCCCCCTGGCTATGGGCCTGCATATTATTCCTCAACTATAAAAAATTGTATGTAAAGCTGAATTGTGTGTTATTACAGTGGGATATGAAGGTGTAAAATTTGGGAATTTGAAGATAATCAATAGATGGCTCTCACCTTATATGATCTGCCACTCATATTAAGTAATATTTTGATTGAATTAAAACAAAAAAACAATTTGCAACGGTCAAACCAAATCTAGGTAAAAAGTAATCCAAAGTGTCAAAATGTTTGTTTAGGTTCATCAATTGTTGATGTGAGAGTTTTAAGAAGTTGTGAAAGTTTGAAATCTTTATGCCCTGAAATGGCCAAAATAACCCACTGTGATTATATTCATGCTAGTGAAACCAAAAATGTGCTTTTTTCGATGTAAAATGTGCTTTACCTAAGTGCCAAAAGAATTGTTAACAAGTGACATTTCATTTAAATTATTCCAATTTTAGAATTTGAAGAAGTTGGAAATAAAAAAAAATCTAGATGAAATATTGATAAAAGCAATTGCTAAAAAGTTATTCATTTCAAGATGAGTTTCATAACAAAAAACTTAAAGGTCATGCAGAATCTAACCAAACTGCTTGTTTTGAACTTAAGAACAAGCTACATGTATAAAGACACTTACATTATACATGAAAACTATTAAAACTCAGTTAACTGTGTTGTAGTTAGTGGTTTGTGCAATTCTTAAAATGCACCCTAAATTGTAAATAACTTGATATAGATACATAGCGATAAGCTTTGCTGTACATTAAGTCCTAAAAAATGAGTTATATTTTTATTCAGGTTTCACATCACTTGTTTACTATTTACGAGTAACAGAAGAATATGTTTATTTCTGTGATCCAAATTTTTTGTTGTTATTGGACTGAAAAAATAAAATTTCTCGATTCTCGAGCCTTTGTTCGGAAAATGTAATACAAAAAGAACAAGAAATCACGAGGTAATATTGTTAGTGTAAAATGTTATTGAGACATAATATTCACATTTCATACTATATTTAAAAGTGGTCAATAGGTTATAGGTCAGATGTACTCAGATATAATATACTGTATATACACTTCAGTATATCCCAAATTATAATGAAAAGTGCACATCTATGGATCCTAGTAAATTGTATTGATAGGGGTAAATTTGAATCCAAAATTGTATTTAAAGAGAAATGTCTTGGGATACTTACATGTAATTATATCAAGAGCTGTAAAATAGCATCTTAAACTGTATAATAGGGATTTGTTAAAGATCTAAAATTATTTTCTTAATAATAAGGGCAAATTTAGATATTACAATGTATTGAGAGAGAGAGAGAGGTACACTAGGAAGCTTATCTTTGACAGTATGAAGTTGCTATATATTCAGTATTATATTTATACTTTGTAGATATAGTATAGGTGGCGCTTTAGCCGAATAAATCCGTCCATGATATTTTCTTATATAGAAATGCATTTCTTCTGTGTTTTTTTTTGTTAAAAGGTCTGTAGATATGTTATTTAAAAATACTTGCTCATATATGTGTGTTCTGTAATAAGCCTACAGGTAGGACTCGACTACAATGACCAAAATGAAGGACTTACAGAAATCCATACCAAAACATTTACTGGTTTCGTTACTTTCACAACCATTCACGGGCAAGAATAGACCAAGCATATGGCCCGATCCATCGGCCGGCGCCCGGCTGATTGAATGTTTTGTTCAATATTGTAGTCACTTTTGATCAAAATACTCAATCGGCTGGGCGCCGTAGTGAAAATCAGAGCAAATGTGACCAAGGCATCAGTCATGTAAGTCTCAAAATCGCGAGCAAGTTCTCGATGACATTGCAACGTTTCACAGAACATCAATTTTATATTTCAATTCTTCACATTTCTTAAAGAACAGCTTCTAACATAAAGAGTTAGAATTCCCGCTGAAAATATGAACAAGCCCTAATGTTATCGAATTCTACGACAACTGATTATACTAGGTAAGAATCTCCCATTGCACTATTGGACCCAGTCTGGTGAATTCGTTAATTCTTCCTAAAATACTTAGTAACAGCAAATTGCAATATAAATTGCTCTAATAAACTATATTATGTAAACCACAGTTTGATATAACCCATAGCCTTCCAAGAGAAGGGTATGCAATTTCCCATTACTCATACATGAGCATTGCCTTGGCATTTCAAAATTGCTCTCTGACGCTCTTGATTTCAATGGATAATCATGAAGACTCGCAACAGAATCGGGTCGTCGTGAAATCTGCTCGCGAAAACATCGGGGCTTGCTTAATGCGTATGCTTACATCGGATCCTCTTCCTTGCTTTCATCGCGGCCGCTTGAACACCTAATTGTGTATTGCCAGCAGAATAGATATAATTGTGCAGTAACTTATCAATATAGCCTAGATGGACCCAATGTTTAATACGAGTAGGGATGTCACGGGACAAAAATATTTCGGGACGGGACGTAAATTATCCATTTCGGGACGGAATACTTTTTGTCTTTATGTTTTAACGCAGACAAAAGTTATATAGGACAATGTATAATAAAATGCAAACGTGCGTGTTGACACCCGTTTCTTCCATGTCACCGAAAAGGAAACATAGATTGTACTGATATTAAGAGTTAGAATTCCCGCTGAAAATATGAACAAGCCCTAATGTTATCGAATTCTACGACAACTGATTATACTAGGTAAGAATCTCCCATTGCACTATTGGACCCAGTCTGGTGAATTCGTTAATTCTTCCTAAAATACTTAGTAACAGCAAATTGCAATATAAATTGCTCTTATAAACTATATTATGTAAACCACAGTTTGATATAACCCATAGCCTTCCAAGAGAAGGGTATGCAATTTCCCATTACTCATACATGAGCATTGCCTTGGCATTTCAAAATTGCTCTCTGACGCTCTTGATTTCAATGGATAATCATGAAGACTCGCAACAGAATCGGGTCGTCGTGAAATCTGCTCGCGAAAACATCGGGGCTTGCTTAATGCGTATGCTTACATCGGATCCTCTTCCTTGCTTTCATCGCGGCCGCTTGAACACCTAATTGTGTATTGCCAGCAGAATAGATATAATTGTGCAGTAACTTATCAATATAGCCTAGATGGACCCAATGTTTAATACGAGTAGGGATGTCACGGGACAAAAATATTTCGGGACGGGACGTAAATTATCCATTTCGGGACGGAATACTTTTTGTCTATGTTTTAACGCAGACAAAAGTTATATAGGACAATGTATAATAAAATGCAAACGTGCGTGTTGACACCCGTTTCTTCCATGTCACCGAAAAGGAAACATAGATTGTACTGATATTAAGAGTTAGAATTCCCGCTGAAAATATGAACAAGCCCTAATGTTATCGAATTCTACGACAACTGATTATACTAGGTAAGAATCTCCCATTGCACTATTGGACCCAGTCTGGTGAATTCGTTAATTCTTCCTAAAATACTTAGTAACAGCAAATTGCAATATAAATTGCTCTAATAAACTATATTATGTAAACCACAGTTTGATATAACCCATAGCCTTCCAAGAGAAGGGTATGCAATTTCCCATTACTCATACATGAGCATTGCCTTGGCATTTCAAAATTGCTCTCTGACGCTCTTGATTTCAATGGATAATCATGAAGACTCGCAACAGAATCGGGTCGTCGTGAAATCTGCTCGCGAAAACATCGGGGCTTGCTTAATGCGTATGCTTACATCGGATCCTCTTCCTTGCTTTCATCGCGGCCGCTTGAACACCTAATTGTGTATTGCCAGCAGAATAGATATAATTGTGCAGTAACTTATCAATATAGCCTAGATAGACCCAATGTTTAATACGAGTAGGAATGTCACGGGACAAAAATATTTCGGGACGGGACGTAAATTATCCATTTCGGGACGGTATACTTTTTGTCTTTATGTTTTAACGCAAACAAAAGTTATATAGGACAATGTATAATAAAATGCAAACGTGCGTGCTGACACCCGTTTCTACCATTTCACCGAAAAGGAAACATAGATTGTACTGATATTAAATATACCTATTTTGAAAGTAATGTTTAAGTATCGAAGAACAATAATGTGCACTTGTACCCTTTGATCCATTTTCTCAGGTGACAAAGAACTGCGTTCATCGAGAACTTGCTCGCGATTTCACGGGTCGCGGATCATACCGGTGTGAAAGAAATGATGGTCCCCAGGGATTATGGTCCCCTTTCTTAACGGCTCTTACTGGCCCTGATTGCGTATAAGATAATGAGGGAACGAGTTGTATTTAGGTCACCATATAAATCAATGGAGAGTAGGACCATAATTTGAAAGGACCTCCTACCCTTTTACAACGGTGATCATTGGCACTAAACACTGCACTTTTTGCACTTTTATCTCCAATTATCAAGGATAAGCCTCGAAGTCACATCGTTAATTCCCTCGTATAACCTTTCACCTTCTTTAGATTCATAGCTAAGTGCCTTCAGAAACGAAACACCTGAGCCAGGGAATTCGTTAGTCCACTTATGCAGCGAGGGTAATTTCTAGTATAATTAAAGCCCCTTTAGCAAGACTTAGATGGGAGCTTAACACAATTCCTGAAACAAGAGTCGAAGCATTTCTGAGAAAGAAGGCTCGATCAAAGGTTCAATGGAGAATTCTCAATTTTATTTGATAATCTGTTTTGAGGTGAGAAGCCTCGTAATGCTAATACTTTGTTTTGTACTGTAGGCTACTACTGAACTTTTGATGACGTACAAAAGCGGGGATTCCCTCTCAGTTTATTTTTTTTAATTTGACAAATTAATATTTCTTTTACGGGATCGTGGAACATAGCCATGTGCAGGGGTAGAAAACGAAAACGTATATTTGTATCTTGTCATTGCGATTCCAAGAGAGAACCACGTAATGGAATTCCTTTTAAAT